ACCGCAACATCTTTCGCACCCGGATGCATGACACTGTTTGTCATCAGGTATTCTCCAGCTACCGCCTCGTATCCAAATCCTAATTCCATTGAAGTGATGATTAGCTGAGAAAAAGGGACGATTAGTGGATGCTGCAACTGTATTTGTACACAATATATATCGTGTATTCAACGTACCACTACGGAACAGAGTACGAATCCAAGGGCGTGAAATCTTCTTTCATATGTGTCCACTAGTACTGTAGCCACACATCGTTCAATGACCATAGCTGCTAAGGTGTTGAACACTCCAGTATTTCCAAACACAATAACATTATGGGATATGATATAAAATGTCCTTGGAAGAAACATATGACATGGGTTAGATGTGAAGAAGGATATGTAGAGTTGATAGATCTGAACAGTGTGTTTTGTCACTAGCTTTATGCTGAGCAATGGAATGCATACTCACTTTAGATATGGAATAGACTACTGCATGAATAAAACACGATATGTAGAGCAAATATAGTAGTAGCTGGAAAAATAACACTCATAATTGACTTCCTATACAGTTTAAAGTTAAAATTACAGCATACAGCTATGTTTAAATGAAGACTAAACATTTTCCTGTACGCAGCGAAGGCATATACGACGCAAATAATAGCAGCGATAGATTCGCTAAGCGTAACAATCTGCGCCGCACGGTAGAACGGCGTTCGTAACACGGCGGCAATCTGAATGAACAGAAATAGTTTAAATAATAGGTCCCATTGCTACTAAATAGGGCAATTTTGAATAAAGACACATCTAAATTTGTAGTGAAACTCGCATCTCTTAAATCTACTGACTGAGCACAAAAATGATGACATGTATATCATGCTATTAGTTTCGGAGAATGGTTTGATAGAAAATATGCCGTTGACTCAGAAATAAGGGTGATCTACTGGACTGTTTAAAACTTTCGATATTAAAGCGGAAGACCTGATGCAGTACTAAGAAATATGAAAGAGCCCTAGAACAACCAAGAAGAAGTTGTCCTTACTGCTGGAGTTTGGTTAGCATCATTTTTCATCAAAACTCTTCAGACTTCAAGAGTAACTTTGCAATAA